GAGGAACAATTTTACTTAGGCAGCCAAGATGGGTTTACTTAATAATAATTTGAGAAAAGAGCAGTTTTGTTTAGAAAAGGTTTGGTACAAGTGATCGTTGGAAAGAGTTTAAAAAAAATTTGTATTTTTAAATAACAGTTTATTAAAAAGCAACTATTTAACTTTATTTATGCAAAATCTTTCATATAATAGAAAGTAAAAAAAGTAAAATAAAAATTTAAATTTTAAAAAGCAAGATTGTGAGCAATTCCACGAAGATACTCTATGATAGATTTATTACCATGATCATTAAACACTGTTTGTATATGTTGCTCATGCTCAATGATATGCCTTCTTTAGGGTGGCCTCAGAGTACTTCACAAAATTGCTTCGATGTCAAGCTCAACTCTATTCTGTTCTTTCTGGATTTCTTTCAAAATTTTAAAAATCCCCACATGCGCACAACCTACTAACACATCCTACCTCCTGTGCCAACCTTCCACAGAGTTCTGCATTCTTGGATATGCAATTTTAATGTTATCGAATACAGACCAAAAAGTTGGAAGGAACAACAAATCCAACCTACTGATATTTCTACTTCTATGCGTGTGCCTGACTCTACCATAAATGAAAGTTTCTTCAAACCAACGAATAATATGCCCAGCTTCGGCTGGAATATGAGTTTTCAATTCTTTATATGCAGCTAGTATTTTGGAGGGGGGTAAAAAGGTGAGAGCAGAAAGACTTCTCATTAGCAAGCTAAAATCTTCCTCCATACTGTATCTTGAGGCAAGTCTATATGCCTGAACCTTACGATAAATATACTGCGAAAAATGAAAGTGGCAACCTTTACTCTGGACAAAATCAAATTCCAATTGGACAGAATTTATTGCAACCATCTCAAAATCGGTCAAAACTACATGCAGGTCCAAAACTATATTATGTTCCTCACCAAAATCTAGCAGCTCTTCGAACAATCGCCTGTAGGATTCCTTTGACTTGCTGGTCATCAAACAGTAAACCAAAGATAATACTCTTGAATTTTCACTCCCGCCTATACATCCTAAAATATAATATATTAATGCATATAAATAAATAAAGTTAATAGTATAATTAAATATACATATATATAGTAAGTATAAATAAATAAATATGTAAATAAATAAATATGTAAATAAATAAGTAAGTAAATACTTCACAAAAACCTATGTTTTTTGCTAAATATGTTTACAATTATTATATATTACAATATCGATATTATTATTATATGATTTAAAATAGTATATAATAAATATACTTTGAATATATATTAATCATATAATAATTATATTTTTGTTATTTCTGTTAACTTTCTTGTAACTTCATCCCTAATAATATGTTTGTTATATATATATAATATAATTTTAGAAAACAGGTACTTCTACATTCAATTTTGATATTTTCACACCTTGTCACGAGCATAAAATGTATTATAGTTGCAGCAAAAATGAAGTGGCATATTACAATTTTTAAGCCAGAATATTTGGATCACACACTGCAATATTTACACATAATTTCATAACAATTTATAATTTAATATAGTGTGGAAATACCAAACTCGGATGTGGAAATACCTGTTCCATAATTTTATATATAAAATAATCTGTTATTAATCTATTAATAATAATAATAATAACAGAATAAAATATAAAATTTTAATATTTTAATAATATAATCGTCCTATAATAAATATATTAAATTATTTATAATATGTTTATAATATTTTATAATATTAATAAGTTTCTTACAAGAGAGTTAACAGAGCTTACTAAGACTTTTATTATATGCTGTTTATATTTTTAAAAAATCAAGGTTTCTTTAAAGTAAATAATAAGTAAAAATTAAAAGATTAAAAAGATACTGTGAATGGTGTACAGCTGTCTAAACATATTAGGTACTGTCTGGAAGGTTCCATCTATGATCCAAAATGTTAAACGATTTAAGTGATGAATGTTATCCACAGTTGTAAAAATTAAAACCCCATTTCTCTCTACTATGAAATCATGAATTAAAAAGTCCAATCCACTTGAAGTTCTTTTCATGTGATCAGGGATAATTAAAGCTTCCAAAGAAAGCAGCTCTGTAGGAAGATCAAGATGTCGAATTTGTTGAATTGTTTGACGGATTGCATTAGGAGACGGAAGGTACTGGTACATATACTGAGGACTGTCAGTAATTACTGTCTGCAAGATTGGGCTGGCTTTTCCCTAGTTAGTTGCACTTGACCCTTTATCCTAGCAATCATCTTAACAACTTCCACTCTGCTTGCTTGTGCCAAATAGTTATGCTCTTTAGCACTTCTAAGATAATATTGACCATTTACCAGTCTGGTCACTGCACAACCATTGCAGCTCAACTCATCTCGCCTCTCACAATACCAATAAAACACATTATTACAACTTTTATTCTTCATCATAATAAAACCATTAACATTAATTTTATCATTTCTGCGAACAGATAGAACGATTTCGCAAATAAAGTTATTCATAGTATTATGATAAGAAAAAAAATTTTTAGGAGTTGTTTTTAGAAAAATATATTTTACCAATAAAATATTGGTAATTATGAATTTAAATTCTTCACATTTATGATTCTTTATATAAATAATCACCAGTAAATCATATAAAAACAGATTTAAATTCTTGAAAGAAATTTAAAGACTTTATTTTAATCTTTCTTTATTAGGAATAATGCATGATAAAAAAAAAAAAGATTTCGTTCGCGACTCTTCATTGTAATAATGAGAACCCATTCAATTTTATTACGAATCATCTTTTTCATATGCTTGTATAAATACTTTTGAATTAATTTCATATGTGATTAGATTTAGTGTCTTCTAAAATAAGTATTATCATTGTGCTTTTCTTTCTTGAAATATACATTTAATTACTTGCTTTTAATGGTACATTTGAAGATCATATGAACTTATCTTATCAAGTTAGATAATTATTAATAAAAAATCAAAGTAATTGTTATGTATGCAATATAAGTATGACAGATTAATTAATTTAACTTATCGTTATTGTTATAGCTTTAATTAGAGATATATTTTATATATTACAATATGTAAGTTTATATTATGTAATATTTTTTGCTATAATATTTATGAAATATGGCTTGTAGTTTATTTTTTGAATAAATAATCTCCTTTACTAATTCTGCATTGACTCTAACTCTTTTTACATAATCAAAATCAAGTTATTGACTGCACTTTATTTGTATAAATTAGGTCAGGTTTCACACACTCTTTTTTTGAATAAATAATTCTATACTTCTTTACTTATTCTGCACTGACTCTAACTCTTTTTTTTTTTTTACATAATCTTCGCTTAAGACTTCAATTGAGAATCAGGTCAGATTTCGCATACTCTTTTTTTTTTGAATAAATAATTCTATTCTTCTTTACTGATTCTGCATTGACTCTAACTCTTTTTTACATAATCAAAATCAATTCATTGACTGTGCACTTCATTTGTATAAATCAGGTCAAGTTTTGCGTACATTATTATTATTATTATTATTGAATAGATAATTTTATTCTTCTTTACTGATTCTGCACTAACTTTAATTTTTTATTACATAATCAAAATCAAGTCTTCACTTGTGACTTCATTTGTATAAATCAGGTTAGGTTTCACATTACTTTATTTTATTTTATTTTTTTTGAACAAAAATTCTATTCTTCTTTACTAATTCTGCACTGAATCTACTTTTTTTTTACATAATCAAAATCAATTCTTCGCTCAAAACTTTGATTGAGAATCAGATCAGATTTCGCGTACTCTTTTTTTTTGAATAAATAATTCATTCTTCTTTATTAATTCTGCATTGACTCTAACTCTTTTTTATATAATCAAAATCAAGTTATTAACTGCGCACTTCATTTGTATAAATCAGGTCAAGTTTCGCATACATTATTATTATTATTATTATTGAATAGATAATTCTATTCTTCTTTACTGATTCTGTACTAACTTTAATTTTTTATTACATAATCAAAATCAAGTCTTCGCTTGTGACTTCATTTGTATAAATCAGGTTAGGTTTCACGTTACTTTATTTTATTTTATTTTTTTTGAATAAAAATTCTATTCTCCTTTACTAATTCTGCACTGAATCTACTTTTTTTTACATAATCAAAATCAATTCTTCACTCAAGACTTTGATTGAGAATCAGGTCAGGTTTCGCATACTCTTTTTTTTGAATAAATAATTCTATACTTCTTTACTTATTCTGCACTCTTTTCTTTTTTTTTTATATAATCTTTGCTTAAGACGTCAATTGAGAATTAGATCAGGTTTCATGTACTCTTTTTTTTTAAATAAATAATTCTATACTTCTTTACTTGTTCTGCACTCTTTTCTTTTTTTTTTTACATAAACTTTGCTTAAGACATCAATCGAGAATTAGGTCAGGTTTCACGTACTCTTTTTTTTTGAATAAATAATTTATATAAACTACAAACCTTTTGTATAATAAAACTAACTTAACTACTATCATTAGTAGGTGAAAAGAGCCGTAGAGAAACTTTTGAGTCTTACTGCAGAGATACTAGTGGTTCAAATAAGTATAACCTGGTCCTGTACTTCTATCAGTTGTTTCGAAGTTCCAAGAGAAACTAAAAAGAAATTTCTCTTTTTTATTTCAAGTATACTGAGGCTTCAGGTCTCTATTCGATCATTAAGAGTCTTAATGATCGTCATGTGAGTCACAGGATTAATGTAGTATAATTAAAGGTAACAATGACATTAATCAAAGGTTTGATCAAGTATTGTTTGTCTATAAAAAGGGTTTTGGATCACTAATCGATTCTCTCTCTCTCTCTCTCTCTTATTCTAAGAAAATTAATAGTATGGCGAAGACAATATTTTGAATCAAGAAAGGTTAATAGTAGTTTATTTTATAAGGAATCAAGGGCTAAGAGTCAACACTTCTACTCGAATTTTGAAGATCAAAACTCAACTTTGGCTTTACGATTGAATATACTTTTAACAAAGATAACAAGAAATAAATAATTCTATACTTTACTTATTCTGCACTTTTTTCTTTTTTTTTATATAATCTTTGCTTAAGAGTTTGATTGAGAATTAGGTCAGGTTTCGCATATATTTTTTTTTTGAATAAATAATTCTATATTTCTTTACATATTCTGCACTGACTCTAACACTTTTCTTTTTTTTACATAATATTTGCTTAAGAGTTTGATTAAGAATTAGGTCAGGTTTCGCATGCTCTTTTTTTTTTTTGAATAAATAATTCTATACTTCTTTACTTATTCTGCACTGACTCTAACACTTTTCTTTTTTTTTACATAATCTTTGCTTAAGACATCAATTGAGAATTAGGTCAGGTTTCATGTACTCTTTTTTTTTGAATAAATAATTCAATACTTCTTTACTTGTTCTGCACTCTTTTCTTTTTTTTTTATATAATCTTCGCTTAAGACTTCGATTAAGAATTAGCTCAGGTTTCGCATACTCTTTTTTTTTGAATAAATAATTCTATACTTCTTTACTTATTCTGCACTCTTTTCTTTTTTTTTTTACATAATCTTTGTTAAGACTTTGATTGAGAATTAGGTCAGGTTTCACATACTCTTTTTTTTTTGAATAAATAATTCTATACTTCTTTTACTTATTCTGCACTGACTCTAACTCTTCTTTTTTTTATATAATCTTCACTTAAGACATCAATTGAGAATTAGGTCAGGTTTCGCGTACTTTTTTTTTTGAATAAATAATTCTATACTTCTTTACTTGTTTTGCACTCTTTTCTTTTTTTTTTTTTTACATAATCTTCACTAAAGACTTTGATTGAGAATTAGGTCAGGTTTCATATACTCTTTTTTTTGAATAAATAATTCAATACTTCTTTACTTATTCTGCACTCTTTTTTTTTTTTTTTTACATAATCTTTGTTAAGACTTCGATTGAGAATTAGGTCAGGTTTCATGTACTCTTTTTTTTTTGAATAAATAATTCTATACTTTTTTACTTATTCTACACTGACTCTAACTCTTTTCTTTTTTTTTATATAATCTTCGCTTAAGATGTCAATTAAGAATTAGGTCAGGTTTCACATACTCTTTTTCTGAATAAATAATTCTATACTTTTTACTTATTCTGCACTCTTTATTATGATAAGATTATTGGTGAAAGAAAATGCTAGTGTTGTAAAATCAATTAAACTTGTCAGTATAATGTATTGTCGGTGAAACATATTGTCAGCGAAATGTATTGTTAGTGAAACATATTGTTGGTGAAATGTATTGTCAGTGAAGCATCTTGTCGATGAAATAAACATGTCAGTGAAATGATTGTTGGTGAATCAATTATCAGTATATTAAACATGTCGGTGAATTAAACATGTCAGTGAATTAAATGTTAGTAAAATAAGTGTTAGTAAAATAAGCTTGTCAGTGAATCGATTGTCAGTGAACCGAGGTGTCAGCGAAATGAGTGTTGGTGAAATGAGCACCACCCATTTCGATTATATATATTTTGTAAAAGTAACAGAATTTATTTTCCAAAACTAAATGGGTTTCAACATATAGATGACATAATTGACAAATTATGAAAATTTAAAAAATCTTTAGTGTTTGTCTAACCATTCAGATTCTTTTTTTCATTATTTATTAATAGCTCAACCCATTTTTCATACTTAATTTGCCCTATTTATTATGTAAACTGACTCCAGAAAGTAATAGTTATATATATATATATATTATAAGATATTTGTATCAACAATAAACTACTTATTTTTTAAATTTCAATACGATTTATAAAATTTTAGTAAGTCATATTGATTTCTCGTGCACAAAATGTCAAATGAAAATGGTTTACCTGAAAGTTATAAGTAAATGTTTCCTCTTTGTCAACAACTTGCTAATATTGGTAATTTCAAAGCCATCTTTAATATTGGAAACTGCTATAGGATTGAACTTGAAGTTGAAAAGAATGAACATAAGGCATTATTTATTATCCAAAATCTGCAGAAATAGAGGATGCTAGTGGAATAATTGCACTTGGTAACTGTTATCAAGATGGAATTGGAGTTGAAAAGGATAAACATAAGGCATTCATTTATTATCAACAATCTGCAGAGATGAAAAATGCTAGTGGAATATTTAATGTTGGATATTGTTATCTTAATGGAATTGGAGTTGAAAAGGATGAACATAAGGCATTCATTTATTATCAAAAATCTGCAGAAATGGGTGATGCTAGTGGGACATATAATGTTGGTTATTGTTATGGTAAAGGAATTGGAGTTGAAAAGGATGAACATAAGGCATTCATTTATTATCAAAAATCTGCAGAAATGGGAAACTCTAGTGGAATATTTGCACTTGGTAACTGTTATTTTGATGGAATTGGAGTTGAAAAGGATGAACATAAGGCATTCATTTATTATCAAAAATCTGCAGAAATGGGGAACTCTAGTGGAATATTTGCACTTGGTAACTGTTATCAAGATGGAATTGGAGTTGAAAAGGATGAAAATAAGGCATTCATTTATTATCAAAAATCTGCAGAAATGGGGAACGCTGATGGAACATATAATGTTGGATATTGTTATCTTAATGGAATTGGAGTTGAAAAAGATGAACATAAGGTATTCATTTATTATCAAAAATCTGCAGAAATGAGGGACTCTGGTGGAATATTTGCACTTGGTAACTGTTATCAAGATGGAATTGGAGTTGAAAAGGATGAATATAAGGCATTCATTTATTATCAAAAATCTACAGAGATGGGTCATGCTAAAGGAACATATAATGTTGGATATTGTTATTATGAAGGAATTGGAATTGAAAAAGATGAACATAAGGCATTCATTTATTATCAAAAATCTGCAGAGATGGGAGATGCTAATGGAACATATAATGTTGGATATTGTTATGACAAAGGAATTGGAGTTAAAAAGGATGAACATAAGGCATTCATTTATTATCAAAAATCTGCGGAAATTGGGAATGCTAGTGGAACATATAATGTTGGATATTGTTATTCTGAAGGAATTGGAGTTGAAAAGGATAAACATTAGGCATTCATTTATTATCAAAAATCTGCAAAAATGGGGAATGCTGAAGGAACATATATTGTTATCGAAATGGAATTGGAGTTGAAAAAGATGAACATAAGGCATTCATTTATTATCAAAAATCTGCAGAGATTGGATATGCTAAAGGAGCATATAATGTTGGATATTGTTATGACAAAGGAATTGGAGTTGAAAAGGATGAACATAACGCATTCATTTATTATCAAAAATCTGCAGAAATGGGAAACGCTAGTGGAACATATAATGTTGGTTATTGTTATGATGAAGGAATTGGAGTTGAAAAAGATGAACATAAGGCATTCATTTATTATCAAAAGTCTGCAGGAATGGGGGATGTTGTAGGAATGGACCAAGTTGGAAATTGTTTTCTTTTTGGAACCGGAGTTGAAATAGATGAACAAAAGGCATTCATTTATTTATTACGAAAAATCCGCTAATATGGGAAATTTATCCGCAATTTCTTAGGTTGGATATTGTTATAGAAATGGAATTGGAGTAATGAGAGATATAGAAAAGTCTATTGAGTGGTATCAAAAGTAATATTCTAGTTTAAGTAATCATCAGATTTTTAATTGCTATTAAATCGTATTTATAATGCTTTATTTTGATTTATGATACAATAGAGAAAAATTCCAGTTATTAGAGTTACCAGGTTGTTTATTATTCAAATTGATTTATTATTTACTATATATTATTTAAATATAACTATTGAATTTTAGTGGCAAATGACTGGATAAATAAAATTCCAGATATTGATGATAGTTTAAAAAATATATTAATTAATAATAAATATTCACTATTATGGATCTCTTATAATGAATTTAAATTCTTATGGAAATAGGAAAAGGCAGATTTGCAACAGTATACATAGCTAAGTGGATTGATCAAATTCGAAGAACAGAAACTAGTGTTGAGCTTAAATTATTACATGGATCAACAAATATCAGGAAGAGTTTATAAAAGATGTAACATTTTTTAATCAATTACAGATATATTTTTATTTCTTTAATTTACATTCTTTTAAATATTAAGTTAAAAGGATATTGTGATATTGGTTATAAAAATCCATCATTTATCAAATGCTTTGGAATATCAAGAAATGATTCTTCTAAAGATTATATTCTTGTCTTGAGTTATGCACTGATGAGATCCTTACGTAATAATCTTCACGAAATATCACAGTTGAAGTGGAAAAATAAATTAAATTTATTACTTTGCATTGCATCAGATCTTCAAATAATTCACTCTCATGGGCTTATTTACCGAGATTTGCATAGTGGTAATATGGGAGCTCGTCAGTAGAAAAGGAGTAAAAAGTTTTTATCGCTTTTTTTTTAAATTTTAAATTAAAATAGTTTAATAACTACTAAATTAAATTAAATAAATTTTTTTTTATTTAATTTTATAACTGCATATAATTAAAATATAAAAAAAATTATTAAATTTAGTTTAGTAGTTATTGAAATATTTTAATTCAAAGTTTAAAAAACTTAGAAACTTTTTACTCCTTTTCTACTGACAAGCTCCCATATTTTGCAAGATAATCTATATAGTGCATATATTGCTGATTTAGGACTTTCAATACAATCCAATATAGCATCTGAGATGGGATCAGAAGAAATTTATGGAATTTTACCATATATTGCACCCGAAATCTTTGTATACTACAGCATCTGATGTTTATTCATTTGGCATAATTATGTGGGAAATTTTATATGGAAAAATAGTTTATTACGATCGAGAATTTAATAACCAACTTCAAATAGAGATATGCTGTAAAAACCTGAGACCAACTATCGTTAAGGATACACCACAATGCTATATAAATCTAATGAAAAAATGTTGGAAAAAATGTCCAGACGAACAAAATGGAAAGATGATGAAAAGATATTATTGGAATTATCTAAATCAGAAAAAGTATTAAAAGATATTTGGAATATACATAACCCAACTTACATTGAATCGAATTATATAAGTAGATCCCATTTACTCTACCAATCATATTCTAAAAATTATTGAAGCAGTAACATTTGATCCAATAATCTGGATATCCAAGCCTATAAGTTACATTAAAATCGGATTCTACACAGAACTTTATGAGTTTTTTATTTATTTAGCATATATTAATTATACTAAAATTTCATAATGGTTTATTGTCAAAAACAAGCTACAAAATTTCTATTCTAGGAGAAGCGAAGGACTCCCAATTTCTAGTTTTAGAAGCAAATACAAAGACTTATGTTTATACTTTCATATGCATGTGCTGAATATTGAATTCTAAATAAGCTATTGGTGGATTTTTTTTATTTTAATTCTATATAGTTATATAAATAAAATAAAAAAGAGTTTATCAAGTTTAGTTTTAAATTTTTAAAAAAACTCACTAAAAACAATTTGCTTGGTTTCTACTGACAACTCCATATGTATACATGTAATGATAACTAAATTATAATAAAATTATTTATATAGAAGTTAATTAATTTAGTCTGCTTACCATTTTAGAACCATTTATCAGTATACATATGTAGTTATTAAATGAAAAAAACAAATCTTATCAGATTAATGTCATGTAATTTTGATATGCCGCATATATGCATTTGTTATCGCAAACTTAGTTAAGGTATCAGCATAATGTTAGGTTTCGTTTACATATTATGTTCTATTCAACAAATTTAATACCAGGTAGGACGCTTATGTGTCATCCAAATGTAATTATTAAAAATTATAGAACCTTTCTATGATCATATAAAAATTATTTTATTCCACAAACTATTCCCTCGAATTATTCCAGCTACTAATTATGCTTGTTAAAAGTAAACGCTTTGTCACTTGTATACTTATTAATACTAATTGACTAGAGCTAAGGGACAAAGTGAAAGCTTTCAAACCATACTCTATGAAATTTCAGAAATGTTTGACTCTCGGTTTAACTGATCCTGATTTAGGTTCATCCAAACTTAAATTTAAATTAGGATCAATTGTTGAATACTGATCTTGTTTTTTTTATAAAAACAAACTACAACAAAGATTAATGAAATAACAAGTTGTTTTCTAGTGAATTTATTATAAATGTAATATTAAAAGCAATAGCAATCCGTAAATTTAATACTATTTAAAATTATTTATAAATTATAGTCAAAACTTCAACGCATAAATAAAACATCGCCATTTTTCAAGTGTATATGTTATCTGTGTTATATTACCAGTCAAAACAACTTAGATTTACACCTATAATTTCCTAGATAGACTTCACAGTATTGGAGTATTTTCATATTAACCTAGCATGAGCTCATTGACTTTGGTTATTAGTACAGCCAAACCTCTATATATGCATACCCTCTATAATTGCACCCTATACCTAAGTCCTAACTAATAATAACATTACTCTCTATAAATGCACCTCACAAATGCACACTTATGGTCGGTCCCAAGGGAGCAGGGAATGTCAAAAATTTGGATATAAAATCATAAATCTTTATTTGAATATTGACTTATATTTGGGTAAAATTTGGATAAAAAATTAAAAATTTGGAAAATTTTGAATATTAGACTTTATTATTTTCATTAATTAAAATATAGCATATTTAACATTTTCAATGAATCTTAACTTAAATTTTGTCGATCATCCTCTAAAAGATAATTATAAATTAAAAAACTTCTTTTCACTTTATATGAAGAAATAGGTAACCAAATCTAATTTAAAGCTATACTATTTAAAATCAAAAGTGAAAAAGATATCTTATTTCAAAATTTCTTCAAATTATTAAATTCAATTAAAGTCAAATCTAGATTACAATAAAGAACCCATTCTTGTAATAAAGTATCTGATAAATCATTAAGTTCAAAAATTTGATCTGAATAATTTTGAATATTATGATTAATAATAGCTAATTTAATAAAATGAAGATTAAAAATTTATATTGCAATAAAAAGAAAATAAAAAGGATGATATAAAAAATACTTATCAAACTTTTTATATACTGCAACAAAAGCTGTTTGAAATACAAGATTAAAAATATACAGTTCAGTTTTGAGATTATTATTTAGAGAATATTTTAGTATTTGTATAAATTCATAATATAATGTATACATAATCTTTTTAGTATTATAATTTAATCATTGTAATACACAAATTTATATTATTTCTAAAGTCTGTATTAGATTTATTATTTTTTAAAAAAACTTCAAGTTGTTGTATCCTGCTTTCAATAAATAGAATTACTAGTTTATTTTTATATTAAAAAAAGTTAAGATCTATGATAAACCTTTTTGCATAATGTTAAATAAATATTAAATAAATTTAAATTCAGCATATTTTTCAGAATTATATAATTTTCTTAATTGTCTTAGATAAATCAGTTTTGTACTTCTCATTATAAAAATTGTAAATATATTTTAAGTAATTATACAAATAAAATGACATTTGAAACTAGATGTTCTAACAAGTTGTACCAGTGTTCAAAATTAGTGTTCTTAAAGGTTTTAGGAGAACACAAATTTGTAAGTAAGAACAGCTGAAAGCTGATTTTTTATATTAGAAAACACTCAAAATTTGACTTCAAAAATATTAAATAGAACATGAGAATACTAGGAATGCTAATGACTCGACTCAACTGGCTTTGACTTAACTTGCATCAACTTTTACCCCTAAGTCGACTCAAGTCAACTAAAAGTCAATTACATGGAATGCAGAGTAACATTAGTATATATATGGTTTTGATCGTCATTAGTTACAGTTATAGCAAATTTAACATAACGATAAAACCATAGCATTAGCAAATTTATTATATTTACTTTTATACTGCATAAATCTTTAAAGCATATGTGATTACATCAGAATTAGACAAATGGTCAAAGTAATGTATAGCAAAAACAACTAGTAAGTATTAAGTAATAATGTGTTAAATAAAAAATGAAGTAATAGTGAAGATAGTAAGAAAGTAATAATTACGTAAATCATAAAAATATATTAACATAAATTTTCGCTTTACAATGCTTTAAAAAAAAATGCTTACATCAAACTTTAGCGATTCAAAAATCAAAAAATTAATAAAGTTATAATTTGAAAAAATTTTAATTACTATATTAGAATCTGTTTATATATAATAAAAAAAAATTAAGAAAAAATATTTTCATCTATCCAACTCTTTAAACACAGGCATGCCCATGTACTTTCATTTGATAATCTATTTCTGGCTTTACTAATAACCATTCCAGCTATTGAAAATAACTGTTTACAAGGAACTGAGCTTGCTTGTATTGATAAAAAATCTCGTGCAAGATTAGATAATAATGGGAACTCAGTTTGATGCATTTTCCATCATGTTAAAGGTTCAACACTATCTTCATATGGAGGTAAATTCCAGTAATGTTGTACTTCATCTACTTGTATAGAATAATTTATTGGATGTTGAGTTAATCATGTTACAAATATTGCCATTTTTGGAGCAAATGTTGTATTTAAACTTGTTGCAGAAAGTCTATGTTAAATTGGATCAAGAATTTCTTTAATTGTTTTTCCTAGAAAACAATATCTCTTATAATGTAGGTCTAAAAATGCAGCCACATGTGAAATCTCATCAAGATATCCCCAATAAACCTATAATTTATTATAAATTAATATAGAAATTTCTTTTAATAAATTATCCTCATTATTATAATTTTTCAAATCTGAACAAATACTAAGTAAAATTATATGTGCATAAGCAATAGTAAAATAATTTTGAGATGATAATTCTTTTGTAGCTATATAAAATTGTTCTAATAAATTTATGAGATCATTGATTTGATTCCATTCATTTGAAGACAAATATAAATTATTTAATGATGAATGACGCATAGCTATGATATCTAGATACTCTTTAAGGGTTTGAACTCATTGAAGCATAATAAAAGTTGAATTCTAGCATGTTTTAATATCAAGAATTGGACGGAGAAAAGTTTTTTTATCTACTAAATGATATCATTCTAAATCTTCTAAATATGAATATGAGTTTCATATTACTTTTACTATTGGTGCACTTTTTTAATTAAAATATCTACTTTTTTTAATCTGTTATTAACAGAAAGATTTATAATATAACATATACAACAATAGTAAGAAAATCCATTAAGATCATTATTAGGATTAAGTTGTTGCTTTATTTTGTTGCATGCTAAAACCATATTTGAACCGTTATCAGTTGTAATTGTAACAATTTTTGAACTTAAATTAAATTCTTCTAAAACTTTTAATATATAATTACTAATTGCTATACCCATATGAGATCCTTGAAATTTCATAATATCTAAAGTAAAATGACATAATTTCCAATCACTATTAACAAAATAAATAGTAAGTGCAATAAAGCATTCCATTTTTAGATTAGCCTAAAGATCTGTCATAACTGAAACTTTTCCTAGAATATTATTAATTATTAAATTAATATTAGATTGTTGTGTTGTAAACATTTCAAGTATCTTGTTATGTATTGCTTGACGTTTTGAAATTACAAATAAGGGATCAAGTTTATTTAAAAAATTACGAAATGAAATATTATCCACAACAGAAAAAGGTTGCATTGCTTTAATAATCCATTTGACTAAAAGCATTGATTATTCTAATTGTTCTTTTTCAGAGTGCATTTGAACAGAACTTTTTCGAGTTAATAGATTATGCTTAACAAGGTGATCTCATATACTTGATGCACTAGTTTTTGATGAAAATATAAATTTACATGTTAAACAATAATGATGTTTAGGATCATTTTTATTTACATAATGCCAGACATCAAAAGTATAATGATCTGAGCTTTCAGTATTAGGTTCTTCAATTTCAGATATTTGCACATCAGTATTAATATTTGGATTAAAAGTTTTTTCTAATTCAACTTCTTCGATTTCAGCTATATAGTTTCTAAGCCATCATCATTTTCAAATTCCTCATAATTTTTAAAATTTTTATTCATTGTATTAAAAAAAAATAAAAACATACTTACTTATATATAGTTGATTGTATCTATTTGTGACTATATGCGTAAGTTCAAAAATATGCATTTATAAGAGTTTTATAAACTTTGAATTGAAACAAGAATACATTTAGAAAGGGACACTTGGTGTATGCATTTATAAAGATACATTTATCAGAAGTGCATTTATAAAGAAACATACATATGATTAAATTCTTTTAGATATCGCTGAACTTTTTTGGTAAATATTTAGTTTTTTTGATAAAGAATATATCTCTAGCAGTATAGGTAACCTTACTTTATAATCAATTGATTAATAAATACATTTTTATTAAAGGAGTCATCTATACTACAAGAGATCCTTTATGTCATTCGAATACATAAAAAAAATTTTAATATATAAATTCTTTAAATAGATAATGTATTATTATACATATTTGTTAAGGATCTATGCAAACTAATTGGACAAAATCGATCTATTGCATAAATCCCTTAAATATCAACTACTTATCGACTTAAGTTGACTGACTTGCATATTAGTCGACTTGAAACGACTATCAACTTAAAGTTACAAGTTATCGACTTGAGTCAAGTCATTAGCATCCCTAGAGAATACTAATTTAGTCTCAGATTTTGAACACTGATTGTAACTAATAATAATATAAATTTTAGTAGAAGATCTGATTGCTAATTTAATTTGTAACACCTTAAATAATGCATGTATTGATTCTTACAGACTTTTGCATATGTAAATGTTTTTTTAATATTTGTAATTAATACTTTAATATCATCAATATAAAAAATTAATGTTTACAATTTACTAAAAATATCAGATATACTGTATAAACAGATTTTTAATTCTAATTTAACTAGGAAATTCCAAATACACTTAAACTTATAATATATATATTGTTTTAAAACTTAAATAAAATAAAATATTAAAGAACATTGGTAGAACTTGTCCAAGACAAGGCTAAAAAGCTTTGGATACCATCACTTCCTTATCTTATAACAATTATGTTTATTCAATGCAGATTTTAGAATAGATGATGTATGAGACTAAAAAATTGATTGATTTTATTTATTTACATAAATGTATAAGTTTTAAATTTAATTTTTTAAATTCTAAAAATAAACTCTACATATTATAGTCTATATTACATATTTATATTTCTGCATTTCTGCATTTCTGCATTTTCTAAGCTATTTATAATAAAATACCCAACAGTTAAAATTAGTTCAATATAAAGCTAGTATTAGTCAGTTGAAATTAATTATCAAAAAAATAATTGTTAAATAATAGAGTTGAGTATATTAATTTATGTTGCGAAATCAAATCATCATAAAATTTGCAGTATTACTTTATTTAAAATAGCTGCTCAATATGTAAGTATTAAGGCAGCTTCTGTCTCAAATTATGTGAGATGATCGAACATGTGATAGGCCTGATTATGATCACATGTTCAATTAATTGTTGATTAATCAAATAAAAGTATGTGGAATTTGTAATGTAATTATTGATAAGAGTCTAATCTAGTTGATTAGTTGTAGTAAGAATGAAGTAATTAAGTATGAGGTAATTGGGTAAGCATGAGGTAATTGAGTAGTAAGTAGTAATGAAGTATGTATGAGGTAATTAGAGAAGTATGAGGTAATTTGAGATTAGTATATTAGTATAGTTAGGGAAAGTTAGAGTAAGTAACTTTGTCTTTTCTGCGAACTCGATTTTTGTTCTGGTTAATTTAAGCACTAATATTTTTTTCTTTTAAGAATATGACAAATAATTTGGAAAAGAATAAAAGTTTAGCAGTTGATGAGAAAAATATAGCACAGTCAAATAATGATATTGAACCATCACATAGCCAAGTCAATTTCAAAGCAAATTTTGACTGGTTATCTTTTGAAATACTAAAATTCTTGTATTAAGAGATGGATGTCTCTGATGTTGGTTTGGAACAGGATTTGATAAACAGATTAGTTAGTGAATATAAGGGTAGAGAGGAATTATGTGATAGATTGTTTGAAAAAAAGAAGGTTGTAAGTCTAAAGGATGATGTGGATAAGGAAGAATTTTGCTTCTATTTGCATGATTGTGACCTTTTTGCAGGAGTTGAAATTAATAACAAAAAGTCAAAGATGAGTAGTTTTGGAACAAGAGTGCAAGGTGGGCATCAGTTTTTGTAGATGTCTAGTAAGAAAGAAAGATAATTATCTGATTTTAATGATAGTGATATAAGGTTATGGAGTAAGCATAATTTGTCTAAAACAAGAAACTAGTAGGAGTTTAATAAGTGGTGTAAGGCTGATATGTTGATAAACAAAGTATTAAGCATGAACAAGATGGATTATTTGCTATTAGCCAGACAGGTAATTTTGAAAATGGTTTATGTCATTAGTATTGCAGATGAGGATGAATAGAGTGTTATTGCAAAAATAGCATTCAATGATTTAGTTGATTCTATGTCTTAGTTTTTTGAAGATAAAAGAGAAAGTATTAGATTAGCATTACAGTCATTTTTTAAGAATAAAAAGTCAAGAACAATATAGAAAAAAAACTAGAGATTTGAGAGTCAATTAAGTAGTTTGCAAGATGCTTTCTCAAATTTATAGCAAAAGTAGTATATTGCATCTGTGTTCATTTAAGTTCATCTGTCATTTATGTTTACCTGACAACAGTTATCTAATTAGCAAGATTTGCTTTTAACAAACCTATCTATAAGGATTAACAAGTTGAATCCTTTCTTTGCTGATCAACAAGTAGAATAAAATAGTTCTTTTTTTTATGACAAGGTAATAAGTTTTCTGCATTAGAAGGTAGAGGTTTAGAAATAGATAGAAAATTAGATGCAGATAAGAAGGTTGTTTATTATTTGTATAAAAGAAAAGATCACTATGTCAATGAATATAATTTATGAAAGCATTTAAGTATGCCATTTTGAGATAATAATACAAAACAAAAATGCAGTTGATAATATTTGAATAAATTCAGTTATAATAAAAGAGGAATGAATTGTGATAAGCAGCATGTAACAGAAAGGCTTTATGCAAATGTAGCAATAAGGTTTTAGAAGGAAGTTATAAAGCTAACTCCATTAGTAATAGACTGGCTGAAAAGAAAGATTCTGTTTTTTCTAAAAAAAACAATGAGTTTTGCTATGCAGATGATACCAAAGTTATATTCTTTTACTATAGAAGAGAAATAGTAAGTGGAAGGAGAGTTAATAAGATTAAGAAAGATAGGTGTGATAAAATTTGTAGTATGAGAAAAATCAAGACCAGAGATGTTTCTGAAAATGAGTTCTGTATTTGTAGTACCTAAGCAAAGACTAAAAAGGCTTTATCTAATAATAGATCTTAGAAAATTAAACAGAATATTATTCAAAAGGATATTCAAGTTCAAAGACTTGAAAATATTGTTAAGAATAGTAGCAAGAATTAGTAGATAATAATATTTGATTTGAAAAATAGGTATTATCATATCTTGATGAATGAGGTAGCTTAATGATTCCTGGGCTTTTGCTTTAATAAAATATAATTCTATTACAAATATTACCCTTTAGTTTAAGCTACTTCTTATGAATTTTCACAAAGATAATAAAGGCAACAATTGAAAGCTGGGAATCAAGAAAAATTTTCTGTGAAAATTATCTGGATGATGTGTGTATAGCATATTTGTTAAAAGAAATTCTTTTGCAACAATACCAGTTAGTTATAAAAGCTAACTTGAAGGATTGTAGTTAGATTCAGACCAAAAAAAAGAGGTGTTGAAACCTAGTACAGAAACTGAAATATTGTAGTCTGATTGTAGATATGACAGAAAGATTAGTGACTGCTTCAAAAGAAAAGATTGTAACCATGATTTTACAATTGAAAGCAATACAGAAAAGCTTAAATATTTTGGTTTGAAAATTAGTATCTATTGCAAAAAAAATGCAGAGTTTACAAGAGCTTTTTTTTCTGTTCAAGTGAAATGCTTGAAGTTTTACAAGTTGATAAATACAAGAAATCATGATTAGAACAATTGGGATTTAGAGTTTGTCTTATATCTGCAAGCAATAAAGAACATTTAGCAGTTGGTAGAGAATCTAAAAATATGGAATAGGTGATTTGTATAAAAGCTCTCAAAAATGAAGACTTTTTTTGTAGACATATTAATAATAGTTTGATGTAGAATATATTAGAGATTGATAATAACAGAGAATTAGCTATAAAGATTAATAGTAAATATAGTCATACAGCTCAAGTTAATTGCTGTTCTTTGGGTTTTGAATTATTTGAGAGTCAATTAAAAGACTTATAGATTATATTGATAATAAACAACAAAGTAGTACTAAAAATGATCATAAATAGGGGCCCATGCAATAGCAAAAGAAAATCACAAGAAAGATTTGAAAATTATATATAGAATTGGATATAAGCATTTACTGTATAAGGTGAATTGCAAGTAAAAAAAATCTGACAGATGGTTTTCATATATAATAGATTTTAAGAATTGGAAAGTCAAAAAGAAGATAATAGAGTAATTACAAAGGTGATAAAGAAATTTCAATATAAATAGATTCATAAGTTTTATAAATATGAAGGTAGAAAGATTCCTTTTGAACTAATTTATTACTTTCTGATATATATGAAGGAGTGTAGAATAGTGTTAATAATAATTGTTCTAGTTTGGATAGCTGTATTGTAAAGGTCAATAGAATACAGGCAGAAAAAGAAGAAGTAGATTTGTTATCACCAGTAAAGATGATTTGTTCAGGCTTATCAGGACACATAGAACTATACAACAACAAAAATTAGAAACTCAAGATAATTTGGATAGACTGATTAGAAAACTCTTGATACATGTCAATAGTTTTGTTAAGAGCTTGATTAGTGAAATATATAAAAGAAAACTAGATAAAGCATGAAAATTGTTTTATAGTTTTACTAAACAGGTGAGATATAAGTTATGTCTGATTACAGATTTGATTCTTGTAATCTTTTTAGTCTGGTTGAAGATGTCAGAACATGATATAGAGATTTAAGTCTATTTAATAGTAATTGCTAAAATATATAAGTTAAGAGAGTTGTAGAATTCTACAAAAGAAGATGTGATATGAATAGTAGTTAACAAAATTAAAAAAGTTATATCAAAGAAGGCAGAGATGAAATGACTAAGAGATCCTTTACCTGTAGACATTATAAAAGTGTATTTGAATTTTCTTCTAATGGTGTTAATTTTGAAATATGAACCTAAGATCTAGAATTGGTAATATTAGATTTAAGAACAATAAAGTAACTTAGTAAACTGTGTTAACTAAGACAAAAAGATATTGAAATGATAAATGGACTTTTGTAAATAAGAATAAATAAGTCAAAGACAAACCAACTAGTGAAGAGTAAATTTGTATTTATTGAGGTGTTTAATACTAAGTATTGCTTAATGAAGAGAGTAATGAAATATTTGAAGGTTAGATCTGAAATAAAGGATGATGCATTATTTTTCTTTCAAAGATAGAAAATAAAATAATGGTTTTAGTAATCACAATAGTAGTAAAGCAATTTGCAGAGCATACCAATTTAAAAGAAAGGTTTATAGTATATATTGGTCATCTCATTAAGCATGATATACTAACTTGATACATTTGAATTAAAATATAATTACACAAAATTTTACATATTAACTTGCAATTAAATAAATATATTTAAT